ATGATCAGAACTAGAAACACTCATGTCCAGAACTACAGGCTCTCATGTTCAGAACTACAAACACTCATGTCCAGAACTACAAACACTCATGTTCAAAACTACAAACACTCATGATCAAAACTACAAACACTCATGTTCAAAACTACAAACATTTGTGTCCAGAACTACAATCACTCATGTTTAAAACTACAAACACTCATGTCCAGAACTACAAACACTCATGATCAGAATTACAAACACTCATATCCTGATGCATGCTCAATAATCGAGGTAGAAAAATCTAAAAAAGTTAAATCTAGTCGTCTGGACATTCAAAAAACAAAACAAAGCAAAACAACAACAAAAAAAGTAGAAACGTTTCATCTTTCATCCGAAAGACTTCCTCAGTCTGATGTGCTGTATTCAGCTCAGTCTTTTACACAAACTTATGTCCAGAACTGCAAACACTCATGTTCAGAACTACAAACACCCATGTTCAGAACTACAAACACTCATGTTCAAGTCCCTCAGAGATTGGGACACCGGAATGCTCAGGACAGCAGTGAGTGATGGTCCTGTTGGCTGCAGAGGACCCCTTCAGTCCTTCTGCAGTTCTGCGGATTTGGTTTTGCCTTGTCTCTGGTGGGACAGGATGCTAACTGCATGTGCCTTTGGCTGATTGTCTTAGATCTGCATCTCAGACTGGAGCCACCTGTCCCAGGAATTCCTTTTAGCCATGGTGAGCATCATGGTCATGTGTAAAATGGCTGACCATCACTCCCTTCTGGTCCTTCAATGCTCCTTATACTAGAACCAGCAGACCTTAGAGAGTTCTTAGAACCGGTTCAGAAGTGCTGATCCAGATGTCCATCTGTTTCAAAATGTGAGGTTTGGACCTGAACCGTCTGAAACTGTAGTGTCTGGACCTTCTGTTTGCAGGAAAGGCCTTCGACATCACCTACGTGCGCCTGAAGTTCCACACCAGCCGACCGGAGAGCTTCTCCATCTACAGGCGCAGCAGCGAGGATGGACCCTGGCTCCCGTACCAGTTCTACAGCGGCTCCTGTGAGAAGACCTACCAGAAGTTGAACCGCGGCTTCATCCGGACCAGAGACGACGAGCAGCAGGCGCTCTGCACCGACGACTTCAGCGACATCTCGCCGCTCACCGGAGGAAACGTGGCCTTCTCCACGCTGGAGGGGCGCCCGAGCGCCTATAACTTTGACCACAGCCCGGTCCTCCAGGTGAGTCAGAACCAGAAGTAGAACCTTAAAAACACAAAAAAGTTTTTTTTAAAACATTTTTGACGGAGTCCCACCGGTCAGAACCCATCAACAGGAACCTGAACATAATAGATCCAGCTGCTGGAACAGAACCGCCGCTCTGACCCAGCTGGGGTGCTGTTGGACTTTAGTCAAAACCACAAATCTGAAAACTGTTTTGGGTCCAGACCTGCTGCTTCCACAAGACCTCACAGATCCAGGATCAGCCAGAACTTGCTGATTAACGAGTCTGAGTCAGGAGGTTCTGCTGCTCTGGAGCCAACTGTTGTGTGTTAACACAATGCCAAGGTGGAAAGTCATCATCAGCAGAGAGGTCGCTGCTGATGAGAGAACCTGTGAGAACCTCCTTCGGTTCTAGAGGATGACACAGGAGTGGCTTTTCACTCCTGTCCTGATCCCACAGAAAAAATCCTGTCCTGTCCCAGTCCTGGTAACATCACTCCCACTCCTATTTCTTTTCTCTTCCATTTAGTCTTTAGGAAAAACATTGAATTGGATTTGATCTTCTACCCGTTCCTTTTCATATTACTTTGTGTTTAACACATTACAGACTGGAGCATTGCAGGTCTGGTATTCCAGAGTGAAGATTATTGAAAGGAAACTATAAAATAGCAGCGCCTGTCCAAAGTTTATTTAATTTTCTTTTTTGTTCTATTGGTTGGTTCCTGCTCGTGTTAACGCTTCGTCCTGTCCCATCCCAGTCCTGAGAGTTATAATAAAGTTGACTCCTGTCCTGCGGGAATCCTGCGGGAATCCCATGAGCTGCAGTACTCCTGTAAAAATGTCATCCTCTAGTTCTGACTGACCCGTCAGAACCTCCTTCACTCCTCTAAATCAGTGGTTCCCAACCTATTTTTCCTCAAAGACCCCCTTCTTACGTTTTAGCCAATCTGAGCCCCCCAATCCCTCACTACTCCCCTCCCCCAAAGACTTTCAGATTAATCTCTTTATCAAAGTGATAAAAGAATAAAGTAAATAGTTTAGTTTTTTTTATTTGTATAAGGTATAAACTGGTAGTTGTATAACAGAAATATTAACTACAAAAACTCTGTTTTGAGAATTTCTCAAATAACTTTTCTTTAAAACTAACAACAGAGTAATCTTTAAAACTGTCTTAAAAAATAAAAAATACAATTTTGTCAAGATATCAAACTCTGGCCATGAACACACAGCTCTAACAAAAACAAAGACAAATGTATATACTGT